TCCTTTTTTAAAGATCAGGATGGCTTGTTGCACCTGGGGGCAGAGCGATGGGGAGGGTTCAGGGCTGTCGGTGTTTCCTTTCCCCACGTCCTTTTGCGAGCCCCAGGGCTGCCGGGGGAGGATGGGAGCAGCAGGGCCACGTCCCCAGCCTTGCTCCTGTCCCCTCTGGAGTCACAGCTGCTGCTCTCTGTGTCCCCTGGGGGACTGAAGGGCACGCTCACCTGAAAGCTGCTCTATGCAAAGGGGAGGGGGTGGCGTTGGGGATTCCTGTTTGAAGAGAGAAAAGGCTTCTTTCCCTGCTCCCCTAGCCCCCAGACTTTGCTCTCCTGGCCTGCTCTTGGTGTGCACAGCCCCCCTGTCCCAGGCCTGGAGTGATCCTGCACCTCCTCGGGGTGTGGGCAGGACCCCTTCCTGTAGGGTGGGCTTTGCTTCCTGTGGGGTGGGAGTTTCTCCCTGCAGAGAGTCAGGCAGCGGGAGGTGGAGGTTCCCCACTGAGTCCCGAGCTCAGCCTGGACCTGGAGAAAGGTCACTCTGCCTTTGGGTGATGTTTGTATCCCCTTTTTGAACCACTCCGGTAAGGCTTTTCCCCTCAGAAGGATCTGTTACAGCCCTGACTCAGCCCCATCTCTGTTTAGGATGGAAGCTGAGGGGCTCCTGAGCCCTGGTCCTCCCATTCCCTGTTCCCCAGTCCCCACTGTTACCCCCCGGGTTTTCAGCTGGCTCTCTGGGCTGGGGCAGCCCTGTGTCTTAATAATCACATGGGCTACCCCAAATCCTTGTGTGGGGAAGCATGACAGCCCCTGTGTGCCCCCTGTGGACGTCCCCAGCCACCAAGGGCTCCACGGGCCGAGCTTGGCACTGTGATTTGGGCTGCACTGGGGGTCTGGGGGGAGAGCACCTTGCTGCTGGGTTCCAGTGAGGGCTTGAGAGCCGCCTTCCTCCGTGGGAGGATGGAAAGGGGGTCGGTGAAACCTGCCCTCTGCTTTCCAGCTGTGGCGGTGAACGTGCCGATGTTGCCTTGGCCTCGGTGGAGTCAGGGGGCTAAAGCTGGGGGGAGCAGAGCACACTGTACTGAACGCTGTATTTTCTAAAGAATAAAGTATTTTTAAAACAGTCTGATGCTCTTTGGAAGTCCCCTGGGTTCCCCAGGTTTGGGCATTTAGCAGCCGTGGGCTCTGGAGCTGGAGAGAAAATTCCTTGGATGTTGGGAGCCAGCAACTCTCACAGCCTGCCTGCCACGGCTGCATCCAGCCCTCACCCCCTCAGGGACATTGGCACTTTAATCCAGGGGTCTGGGTCAACCCTCCAGTGTCTGGCAGGAGTTTTGATGCTGGACCACTCCAGCAATGCCCAGAGCTAGAGCCAGCTGCAGGAGGCAGCATCCCTGCTCAGCTTTCCATTTTTCATGGCTGGTGATGATTTTGCAAGGCTGTGACGCTGCTCCCAGGGCTGTTCTCTTGCCTGGGATAAATTCCTGCTTGGCCATAGGGAAAGAAAGCAGGAGGATGCAGAGCCAAGAGAAGATTTGAGAAGGCAATGGGATCTGCCCACATCCCAGGCTCCCAGCTCTCCCACTCCTCGCCCAGGGCAAGGCAGAGGTTCCCAGGCTCCTGGGTGGGGAGTTGGACCCCACATCTTCCTTGGTGGCAAGTGGCCACCCTGCCAGAGCTCTTCAGCATCTGAAAACAAAAAAACAAACAAACAAAACAGCAGCCCAAATCTTGGAACTCCAGCTGGGCTGTGAGTCCTAAATTTCTGAACAGTGGGTCCTGATGGAGAAGCAGGGAAGCATGCCCTGGCTTGTGACACAGCCTCCCCTCTCCTTGCCCAGAGGATCTTGGCTACAATTTGGATACCTGGGGTTTTTTTTATTTGTTATGGCATCCTGAGCAGGTTTCCCAGGGGAAAGTTTCCCTGTGTGCTGCGCTGGCACAGCCCTGGCCCTCAAGGTGCTCTCCAACCAGCCTGGTGGGGTTTGCATGAGGCTAGGGCTGTGCTGTGTCTCAGATTTACTTTCTGTGCCTGGGATGAGAAAGATGATTTGGAAAGCTGGCTAGAAAACATTTTTAAAAATTAAAAAAAAAAAAAAAAAAAGAACTAACCTTACATCATTTTCCCTTTGGCATGGAGGAGGAGAAAGGAGGAGGAGGAGAGAAGATGCTTCTATGCAGGGAGCAGTCTTGGTGCAGGAGAGCTCTCTCTGCATACAAACACTAATAATCCTGGGCTGACGCCACCAGAGTCGTTTGACAAGCTGATTCATCCTTCTCCTTCAGATCCTGCTCCCCTTCTGTGCTTGGTAATTTTTAAACTTGCCCAAATACTGAGGGGGAGTGAGGGCTGTCCCCCCTTTCCCACCTGCCCCTCATGCTGCCCCCATCCCCCTGCCAGTGCAGGTGACAGCCTCCCTGTGCTAAAGGATGATGGTGCATGGCCAGGGAGAGGTGGGCAGGAGTATTCCAAGGGCTGCAGATACCCATCTGGGCATCCTTTCCTTCCCATCCTATTCCATCCTGTCCTCTATCCTATCCAGCAGCCCGTTCTCCATCTTCCATCCCATCCTGTCCTCTCCTGTCCCCTTCCATCCTGTCTCCTCATCGTGTCCCCTCCCTTTCTGCTGCCCCCCTGCCCGTGCCAATCACACCCCATCCTGCATCCTCACCTGGCAGAGGTGGTATCAAGCCAGGCACAGGCAGCACTGTGCTGCCCACACACACAGCCTGGCTCTGCAGGCCTCCTCCCCCTTGTGCCAGGACGGCTCAAGCCCCTTCATCCTCCTCCTTGCCCATCCCACACTTTCCCGTTTTTTTGCAAGGCTTCCCAGCATTCAGACCAATTCACAGCTCACCCTCTGATAATTTTTGTTAAAAATGAGTAGGACAGAATAGACCAAGTAGGACAGGAGGGGGCCGAAGCAGTGCAGGAGGAGGGGAGCTGAACAACTCGCAGGCTGAGCACCAACATCATGTGTGCTGGGTTTCCTCTGGAAAGTGGGTTACAAAGCCAGTGCTAGCTCCACACCAAGCAATTCCTGAGGGCAATTAAAGCACTCACAAACCTGGCTGCTGCCTCCTGCCCACGTGTCCCTACACCCAGCACACACACGAGGGTTCACGTGGGCATCAGCCTCTCTTGTTCTAAGGTTCGAGTGAAAAGCCTCCTGTGCTGTGTAGCAAAAGCTCTGGGGTTTGAGGTGAGGGCAGTCCTCATTTGGTCAGCAGTGACTTGTGCCACTTGTGCCAGGGGACAAGGCCACCCCATGGTGGAATTTTTCTGTCTGGGCAGGGAGCAGCAGGGCACAGCCAGCTTCAAAAAAGAAGGGGGAGCTGCAGGAGGCTGTGACTGAGCACCCCCACAATGCTCAGGGTTTTTAGGACTCACAGACCTAAATAAATGGGCTCCACAGCAAATGGGCTGCAGAGTAAATGATAGGACCACAATGCTTTTCTGTATGGGATTCCCAAGTGAAAAAGAACAAAACCTCAGAGGAGATAACTCCTTTGGCTTCTGCTCCCCTGAGAGAAGCAGGGGAGCTGCAAAGGAGTTACACCTGGCTGGAAGCTGAATGTGTGAATTGAAAGAATCGACTGGCACCTGGGCCATGAAACCTCAGGTGCCCAAAGGAAAGGGAGATGAGCGCTTGCTCTCTTAAGAGCTTCATGTCCTGCCCAGAATCCTTCCCATTCCTCAAGGAATAGCAGGGAGAGGAGTGTAGGAGCAGCAGGAAGTGAAAGGCTATTAACACAAGGAGGTAAGTATAGCTGGAATCAACCACCCCAGGGCTGTGCAAGACTGGGGGTGTGGGTGCCTAACCTAACCTGGGATGCTGAGGGTTTGGGATCAGTCTGGAGGGTGGCTGGGGCACAGAGCATCCTAAATAACTGGAAGCCTAGCCATGCTGGTGCTGAACTAGCAGTTCTGGGGCAGGGGCTACCTTGTATCAGGCTTTTGGTGTCTTGTGCCAGTGTCTGCCCAGACTACAGTGGTTGGCAGTGAGTCCTCACATGCATCTCCCACCCCAGCCACTGACAGCAGGGCCCAGGACTCATTTGCAGTTCCCTTTGTCAAGAGCTCCCTGCTGCTCTTCCCTGGGGATCCGTAAGTGTAGGTACTGTCCCTCTTTTCCCTCTGCACACCTCACTCTGTGCCTGCCAGAAGTGGGATTTTCTGTATGCTGAGGTGGCCAAAGCAGGCAGCCAAGGGAGGGTCCAGCCACCAGGATGGGCTCCAAAATACCCATTACCAGGCAGGAGCTGCAGGGATCTTGGAGCCCATGGGGCTTTCAAAGCCCTGGTGTGGGAGGCAGAGATAGGCTGGAAGAGGAACCCTGGAAAACGTGAGTGCTGCCAGACTGAGCAGGGATTGAGGGGTGATGTGCTCCAAAACAAATGGGTGCAAGGCACCAGGGATCCTGGAGCTGCAGATTTGGTGGAGGTAATAATGCTCTGGGCTGTGGTAGGAAGAGCACCCCACTGCTGCCTCCTCCCAGCAATGGGGAACACGTGCTCCCACGTGCACTTGGGATGGTTTTACTGCCCCTGTACCACCTGGAATTTCTCCTTTGTGTAAACGGGCTGAGAAATGGAGGAGAGTTTGAGTTTAGGCCTATGCAATGTTCGACTAGATGGATTATTTATGCCCCAGACAAATATTAGCCATGGCTTTATGGCTGCATTCTTGCTTCCTCACTCTGCCACTGCCATTGTCCGACTATAAACATATTTTACCCATTACTTCCTCTATTATTTTTCCAGGAACTAAACTAAAGCTTACATAATTTATCCCTACTTATGCAACCCACAATTCAAATTTTATTTGCCGGAAAACAATATGTGTTTATTTTTTCATTCTTTGTCTTTTTCACAGGGGGAAATTTATCCTTTCTGTGTGTCATTAGGTTTGTCTTTCTTTTGCAGTTAACTGATGGACTTCTGCTGGCCTCTTGCTACACCCTGGTTCTGCTTTCACACTCCTGCTTGCCAGCACCAGTGCTAAAGGTAATTTGTCACAAGTGATGTTAAGGGGTGTGGAGGTATCGGCTGCCACGTGCTGAGGTTAGTCGTGCTCATGTCATTTCAGAGGTTGCCAGCTTTGAATTCTTGGGGTTCTCTCCTGTGATTAATTTGGAGTAACTTCTGAGATTTCTAGGAGTCGGTACCTTTCTGTGTCTTATTTCTTCTCGGTGGTACGAAGTGTTGAGTAGCAGTTATAAAAACTAGGAGTTAAAACTGGGCTTGTTAAGTGGTTTGTAAAATGCACTGGTCCAATCCTGAGAGCTTGCAGTGAGGAAACTAGAAATTCAAGTAACCTGGTACTGTCAGAGGAGGGCTCTATGTGAGTCAACATGTCATGTTATCTCCCACACACGCATTGATTGCTTACAGCTGTTCACTGACTGTTGCCAGAGCTTGGAATGACATTGTAGGCACGTTATGGTGCTGGGGACATTGTCCTAGGAGAGGTGGACGTAGGATCTGTGGCTTTTTAACTCATATCTCAAGTTAGTCTTGTAATATAACCTCATAGATGATGAGAGCTGTAAGGGAGGTGCATGTTCGTTGAGTCTTAGACCACCAATTGCTCATGGCAAGGCAAGGTCAGGTGGGTCACATCCTCCTACCTCCAGAACCTGCAAGTGGCTGGCAAAGGGCTTTTTGAATGTAGCTTGTCTGCTTGGGAAGTCAAATGTTTTATAAGAGCTCTTCTGAGAACAGCAGTGTGCTTCAGCAGGTTCTTAAACAACCGGTGACTTGCAGTTGATAGAACTGGTGGACTGTAAATTAGGCTTCTATCTCTCCACCACTTGGCTATTTGTGATACTATAATGGATCCCTGAAGGGAGGGAGCTTCACAACACACCTGTGAGGGTGCCAGCAGCAGGCAGTGCCAGGTTGGCTTGTTACATCCAGAGAACAAGAATACCTGAACGGAGTAACTGGTCAGGGACTTGTGAAAGCCACTGTAGCAGTTACTGGACATGCCTGGACATGAAGGAAGCAGTTTAATGCTCTGCTCTGACTTCATGCCAATATTGACCTGAGTACT